GAGATGCGGAGAGGTCTCGGGCTTTCCCCATTTCTCTCCAGGCACAGTCCTATTATGCATAACCCAATGTTCCCCCAAGGCATGGAGTATAGGGCGTTCAGCCTGTGGAAATCCAGGGGCTTACACTCCTGGAAGCAATTGTTCCGGCCGGACACGTGGGCACCATACACATTCCAAGAATTGATGACACGGTATCGTCTGCCCTCACATCACTTTCTCCACTTCTTACAGGCCACTAAACATTGGCAAGCGATATCTAGGGATCCCAAGAAAATTTTTGCTACCTCATTCCTAGACGTACTACTGTCCTCTAAATCATACTCAATATCTACTCTATATCCTAGACTTCAAACAGTATTTACGCCATTGCTGGCTACCTCGAATGTTAAAATTTGGGCCAGAGAATTTGAAGATCCGGACCTAGTGGACAAGGCCCTGCAGGGATACAACAAAGTCAGGAAGGTGATCACTAGCGAAATATGGAGGGAGACCCAGTTTAAGCTGCTGCACAGGGCTTATGTCCCTTATTTCATGCCGGAAGGCACCGCTTCACATCAAACCAAGTCATCCAGCTGTCCGAAATGTGGCTGTGCCCATCCCACTTTGAAACACTGCCTATGGACTTGTCCCCGGATCCATCAATTCTGGACGCTCCTGATGTCCTATATCGCACAGATTCTTTCCTGGGATCCCCAACTAGACCCTGCCCTATGTCTGTTCAGTCACTGCTCCTCACAGGAAGGAGACAGACAGGGTAGGTACCCCAAGGGGCTGGACTGGTTACACATCTGCCTCCTTGCAGCTCGGAGAGTGATTATGCGCAAATGGAGCGATGGCAAGCCTCCTACAGTAGAGGAAGTGATCAAGGAGCTCAAACTTCTCTTTTGCAGGGAAAGAATAGACGCAGAATCACATGCTGATGCGTCTGCTAAATCTTTCTTCCGCAGATGGAAATTGTTCCTTATTCAATCCTACACGACAGCGGAAATTAGTCAAATTGTTAAACCATTCCGTTACACAAAATGGTATCTAACTGGTCACATGTCGAACACCCTGGGGAAACTGGCCCTAGAACAGGAATAGTTGAGTCATTTGTATCCATACTATTTACTATATGGCACTAGGTCGATTGCATAAAAATCTGTGTCGAGACACCTATCATAGATGCAATTTATTGATGTTAAACTGCATAGAACATAAGTTATTTTGTTTTTATTTAATTTTCTTGTTACTGTTTTCTTCAATATGGCCTGCGATTGAGGCTTGTACGTGTCTGTTCTTGATGTCACCTGTGTTAAAGCGTGCGCTATCGACATGCAGATGCGCAGACAGTGCGTTTTTGTATCACAAAATTCTAATAAAATTTGTTTAAAAAAAAAATAAGGTATATATCCATGAAAAAAATTAGCACAAAAACTTAAAAAAACAAACATCTTAATAAATAAAAAGTAGCATTTACCTGTGCCCTTCTGTAGTACTGCTTGGTTATTGTCTGGTACCTTTCTTGCCCAGCTGTATCCCTAAAACACAGACAGACAAAATAAAATGTTCTCTGGTTAACAGATCAAAGAACAGATGTAAAAAATGAGTGAAGCATGTAAAATGTTCATTATTATGTCAGCTCTTTAAACCCTGCCAAGATACCATGATCATATTATGGTGAATCAGATTCTTTGACCCTAAGCCACATGGCTTAACATGCTGGATTTCTTGACACACGCAATGGATAAGCATAGAGATTGATTTTTTTTCATCCCAGTGCTCTGTCTAGGCACGCACTTCAAAAGAGATGAGAATCATTTTTTTCTGTACGTTTAATTTGCCACGCTGTGAGCAATCCCTGTGCTGCCTGGAAATTATTATTTATGTATTCTGCATGCATAAGGACAGCCAGCAAGTTGGTTGGCCAGCAACAGCCAACCATAAAACACCTGATGACTTAACTGCTTGAAGACCAGGTGTTTAGATCCCCTACCTGGCCAGGCCATTTTTCAGTGTTCAGCGCTGCGGTACTTTGACTGACGTTTATTCCGTCACGCAACGCTGTACTGAAATGAATTTTATACCATTTTTTGGGGACAGATAGAGCTTTCTTTTGGTGGTATTTAATCACCACTGCAGGTTTTATTTTTTACTATATTCAGGAGAAATTACTGTGCGGCATGAGGGGGGGGGGCTGGACAAGCACCCCGCCAATGCTGAGGGCATGTGGCTTGGTATGGTGTAGGGAGCGGGTCGCTGTCCCCTTTCCTGCTCTGTCAAGCTGCTACCTGGTTTAAGGGTCTGGCATGGTACTTTAGGGGGGACCCCACTTTGGGGGGGTGGCGTCGGGGTACCCCATAAAATTCCTACAAGACCTAAAGGGTCTGGTATGAATTGCCAGGGAACCGCATGCTGTTTTTTTTTTGGGGGGGGGGTTAAATCGGAGGTCCCCCCTAACATTCCTACCAAACCTAAAGGGTCTGGTATGAATTTGGGGGGACCCCCACACTTGATTTTTTTTTACATTAATGTTTCCCCTAACACTCCTACCAGACAGACCGAAAGAGTCTGGTATGAATTGTCAAGGGAACCACACACTTTTTTTATTGTTTCTGTAGTGTGTCAAAAGTTAAAAAAATAAAGTAAACATTTAACGTCACTTTTGTTCAACAAATATTCTTTCGTAATTATCAATGAACTCATCCGAAATATAATGAAAATTCAGATTCATCCGAATGCCCAAACGAATTGACTTTCACATTCGAATACTAAAAAATGAAATAACAAAACATCCGAAACGAAATGAAACTAAAACATTTTTTGCCAGCTTACAGGTCTACTTTACAGTCAGCAGGGCACAGTCTGCGCTTCACATCCAGCACAAGCTGTAGGTGGAGAGTGTTATAGGACGTCACTCATCCATGTATCTGCTCCCCCAGCCATTTTTGCTGGGTGAAGATGATTTCTCCTCCCCCCCCCCCCCCCCCTCCCCCCGCACACAGAGCTAGGGGGAGGAGAGCAGACTTGTATGTATGGTAATCAAATGGCATTTACCGTTTTACTATGTGTTTTTGTGGTGGTAAGTTCACAAACACTGTAAACTACATATATACATTAGGGGTCCATTCACACTCCTGCCTTGCACTAAATGCACTGTATCAGTGTGTTTAGCATATGCCATTGGACATTGCAATGCGCCACACGCTAGGTGCACTGGGTTGCCATTCATCCTAATAGCACCTCAATGCACCTCCCAGTGGGCAGGTGCTGCCCTGTAACGTGGAGTACTGCAATATCAAGTGCTGTCATGCAGAGAAAAGAAAGTAGTGCATGTATTTATTTTTTCCACTGCATAGCACTTCTGTACCATGCGTTGTGCTAGGCTGCTATGCATGGTACTTCAATACCATTTATTGCGTGCTAAACAAACAGATACTGTGCCTTTAGCTGAAAGCAGCAGTGTGAATGGACCCCAACCGGATACACAAATCACCATGTTTTCTTCTTTTATAAAATACTTCTTGCACCACTTTTCATCCTTTAATCTCAGTGCTTGAACTCTGTATGTAACTGTTTACCTATTTAAAGTGTACATATAGTCAATACTTTTTTTTAGCTTTGGATAGAGTGGTGAAGGGATTAGAACTCGTGTCATGCTTTTATTGCTGTCTGTGTCACCACTGAGTAGATTTACCCTCTTACTTTGCCCTGTAACCCATCACAAAACAGGAAATTAATGGAAATCAAAGATTTTACCGTTCTTACCAGAACAAAAAGTGAGGGCAAATCTGTTGCGGTGGCAAGTATTTGCAAAGACATATCTTCTCACTTCCTGATGAGTCTTCAGGACAGAACGTTAAAAAAAAAAAAAGACAGCACACACAGATGTCTGCTGCTGCTAGAACGGTCCCCATGGCCCCTTCTCCCTTGCGCTCCGGCGTCCTAAGCACCACTGACATCATCACGTCTAATGCAAGTCATTCATCTGCACTAGAGCGGGGGTGGGGAGATAGGTGAGCCGCAGGACCGAGTATCAGGGGAGTAGGTCTTCTTTATTCCAGTCCCTACAGCAGAACAAGAAATTAACAGCGGGGTAGCCCCACTGCAAGGGTTCATTTTGGTGCTAGCTAGAGTTTATCAATATAAACCAGGTATTAAAATTTCCTAAAACATGACGGCTATAGTACTGTGCTTCTACTATAATGCTCCCATTGAAGCCTGAATGTCTGGAAGCATTTCTTACACTATATCAGGCCATAAATGTGTGAGATTTCTTAACAGGGGCCACTACTAACATAACCCTGGTCAGGAAAGGGCATTTGTAAGGATCCAAGTCTAGACCCATAAACTCTTATAATATTGCAGTTTTGTCTCTCAGGGATAGATGTGCATGCTGCACTTTAATTGTATTCTCTCCCTAAACAAAAATGTCAAGGCTGTAAGGGCCCCATTGACGCTGACCTTTCTCCTGCCAGAGTTTAGGACTGATAGCCAATGCTCTGTCTGCTCTGCTGGGGGAGATTAAAGCTGTTATATTTAGACAAGTCTTTTTGTGTAATCCTAAAAACAGTATCTTTCTATTCTGACCGTTTTAAGTTCTATCCGTATATGTTTTCCTCTCTATGATAGAGAGATGGATCTATATCCCAAAAAAATGGGCTGAAAATCTCGGCTTATACTCGAGTATATACGGTATATATATATATATATACACACACACACACACACACTCTTCCTGTTTGATGCTGAATTCCTATATTCAGATATAATGTTCTTATAAGCAAGTAAAACTTAATTCAGCATTCCTCAAGATCTCATTGCTTTATCTAAACACTTAACCAAACATTTTGAGTATCTGTTCAGCACTGATCTCAAGCAAAAGAAGGATGCTCTAATTGTCTGACAATGACAAAGAGACTGCAAGCAGATAATTAAAATATAATTAATCTCTGAAAGTTTGGCAATTCAAGAGCAGAAATGTAGACTATTACAAATACTAGGTAACAGGTTCTCCTTTACACCTCTCATGAGATAAATATGTGGGCTGCCAATGCTGACCTTGTGTGAAAATATGAATGTCCGGGGATTTCAATAATAATAATTCACTGTACCATAAAGAATATGTTTTGGTTGGATTTGGGCATTACATTCAATTATTATATAAGAAAGTTGAATATGAGAATGAAGTTGTGAATGATCAAAGAACTGCTCAAAGTCTACCTCTAAAAGAGTGATTAACAGGTTCCAGTGAGACATGGCAACACAAATACATGGTTAATTACAAGTGAATGCACAATGCCACAATCATGCTTGATTAATGGTGTTAGCACTGCCATGTAGCACATCTTGTAGGAACAAATTACCACAGTCATAGCAACTGATTGCAGGCAATTCTGCATGAAATTGAATCATTTGGCCGTGCAGTAACAAAATTGAAATTTACACATTCAGCTGTGTCCTGGACCCGATACAAACAAATATCCTGGAATGTGCTCATGTAATTCAACCATATTTCTGAAACCTTACTTTAAAAAAGAATTTCAGGTCAAGAGTAGCGATAGGCCGAACACCCCCATCTTCAGTTCCAATTTGAACTTTAGAACATGGAAAAAGTTCAAATTCAAACTGGAACTAAATGCAAGTCTAGAATTTTGAAAACCAATGTTCCCCCTTTTTGAAGGCTTATGTGCAAGTTAATAGCCATAAAAGGGTATGGGGATTCGGGTACTGCCCTGGGGACATGAATCAATGAAAAAGTGAAACTTTTAAAAAAATACAGTTTTCAAAGGAACAGTGATTTTAACATCCCTTAAAGTGAAACAATAAAAATGAAAACATTCTTTAAATATCGTGCCTTGGGGTTCCCCTAAACTGCCTGTAACGTGGCACATCTGTGCAATGTATAGAACCTGCTGCACCAAAAATGGCATTTAAAAAAAAAGCGTGCAGTTCCCCCTCCCAAAACAATAGAACTGGTAGGAATGTTAGGAGGGACCCCATTTAAAAAAAGTGTGTGGGGGTCCCCCCCAAAGTCAAACCAGGCCCTTAAGGTCTGGTAAGCATTTTAACCACTTGAAGACCCCCTTCATAGCCAGGCCATTTTTCAGTATTAAGCGCTGCGGTACTTTGACATTTTTCCCGTCATGCAACGCTGTACTGAAATTAATTTTAGAAATGTATACCATGTTTTGGGGACAGATAGAGCTTTCTTATGGTGGTATTTAATCACCACTGCGGTTTTTATTTTTTACTATATAAAAAGAAAAATTACTGAAAAAGTTTTTTTTCTACATTATTTTAAAACATTATTACCCAATGTTTTTGGTAAAATATAAAAGACGGGGTCACGTTGGGTGACACCAAACATGTCAAGCTTTAAAATTGCACGCACCCGCGAAATCGCAAAAAACTACCATACCCAAAATTGACCATAGGTGACGCTTTAAAAGCTTTTTCCGCTCATCAGTTTATTGTTACCAGTGATTGATGGCCCTAGAATTATTGCTCTCACTGCGACGTTCGCAGGGATATGTAACATGTGCGGCGTAATGGGCGCAATTGTCATTTTCGCACGTATGCGCACCAGACGCATGCGTGTATGCATAGGTGGGGACTTTTTAAAAAATTTGTTTTTTTTATTCTTTTTCATGTGTGACAAAAACATTTTTTTGCAACTAATTTTGTTTTCCTATTTTTTCCACTTAACTGTTATCACATAGGGGACTAAGAAACCCCACTATGTGATGGCAAAGAGGATGTGACAGGTCCTCTTTATGGAATCAGGGGTCTCCAAGACCCCTAATGTCTCCTAGGGACCCCAAAGAAGTTGATGAAGCAGAGATCTGCTTCATTAGCTTCTGAAGCTGGAGAGTGACACAGGAATGCGGAAGTGATGTAGTATACATCACTTCCGCATTCTGACACCGGAGAGGGTACCGGAGGGAGATAGTTTACCGATTTCCCTCTGATCCCCGTCACAGAGCCACCATGCTAGTCCCAGGCTCGCAATGGGCAGCAGCAGAGCCCGGGACCAGCGGGACAGCAGGGCCGCACAAACCAGCTTGTTATACAAGCGATCCGCCTACTCTATAGCCGGCTGATCACCTGTATGTAAACAGTAATCGCTGCCTAAATCATTTAAAAACGCCTGTTCAGATCCAGGGAGCTCAGGGCCGTCTGTTTTTTTTTACAATGGCCAGCAGGGAGGAACAGCTAGCTGGCTCCACCCAACTGTTTACAGTTGTGCAGCATCTGACAGGTAAGCCATGATTGGGCAAAGTCATCATTACTTAGCCCAATCATGGCTCTTACAAACTACTGTGCCCTCATTGGGCAAAGTCTTGCATCTGACCTTTGGTCAGGTGCAAGGCTTTAGCCAATTAGGGCTCACAAGGCACTGTGCGGTGTTCGCCGAACACACGAACTGCCGATGTTCAAGTCAAACTCCTGCTCAACTCGAACATCGAGCCCATCCCTAGTCAAGAGAAAAACCATCTTGCATCCAACATGGTTTTAAAGTGCAACTACACTCAAATGTTAACTGGGAGATTTGTTACACAGTCCTTTTAGAATGGAAAAAGAATTATGGGAGGACTGAAATAAATACTTACCTTTCTATTGCTGGTCACTAATATCTAAAGGCCTGGGCATTAGGTCATATGACCATTGCCCAAGGGGTTTTTCTGGAATTCTGAACTTTGATCCTCCCATTCAACACAGATCACATCAAAGCGCCCAGATCTTCAGACATGAGGTAAACATTGAAGGGATGCTTTGACAATGCTCCGCTCTTATATCATGTATACAAGTTAAAGTGGACCTTTACCCTCTTTGACTAAAAATAACATCAGCTTGCACAACTGCATGCGGATATGAAATCATCTTACATTCATGAGTTAAACAAACATTTTTTATATAACAATACCGATACTGGACATTTTCACAAAGTACTCCTACTCGTGAAAATGCACCGATACTAAAAGGCCCGATACCAGCCCCTTAAATTTTTAAACAGGTTCGACTGCCCTAAGATCCCACGCTTGCCAGAAACCTCAGGGCAGCTTGCTGGGTACCTAGCGGTGCCTGTCTGTTTACAGCGCAGGTCCATCCAGTGCAGGAAGGAGGACTCCTTCCTGCTGCCCGCACCACTGGGATACCTGGCATAGCCATGGTGAGACCGTACCCTCAGCATAGCCATGGTTAGACCGCGTGTATCAGCAAAGTGTTGCTGAGACACGCACAAAGCCCAGGTGACAACGCAACCACCCACAAAGCCCTGCTGGGAGCCACCCACACAGCCATGCTGAGACACGCACGCAGCCCTGGTGACACTGCACAATCATGGTGAGACCTGCACGCAGCCCTGGTGAACTGCTTAGCCATGCTGAGATCTGCAGCCAGCCCCAGTTACACAGCACAGCCATAGTGACTCCCGCACATAGCCCTGGTGAGACCATACAGCCATAGGGAGGCCCGTACCCAGTCCGGGTGACACCGCACAGCCTAGGTGACACCACACAACCATGGTGGGCCCCGCATGCAGTTCTGGCGACACTGCACAGCCAAGGTGAGACATGCACGCAAGACTGGTGACACCGCACAGCCATGGTGAGACCTGCACACAGCTCTGGTAACACCGCACAGCCAAGGTGAAACCCACACGTAGCTCTGGTGACACTGCACAGCCATAGTGAGACCCGCATGCAGCGCTGGGGAGACCACACAGCCATGGGGAGACCCACATCCAGTACTGGTGACACGGCACAGCCAAGGTGAGACCCGCTTGCAGCCCCTCGGACACTGCTCAGCAATGGTGGGACCTGCACACAGCCATGGTGATGTGCATGATCACATGTGCTACTAATATGTGCCAGAGTTCCAGGAAGTAAAGAGATCTGCCCTTAGTAAAAATGGCCACAGTGAAAGAATGAGAATGAAAAGAAAAATGAAAAGCCGACAATTATCTAGAAATATCCGTTTTTATATTGTCATTTTTAAACACTTCTAAAAGGTGGCTTTATTGTTATTTTAAAGATATGGGTAAAGTTCCTCTTTAAGTTTTATACATGTGGACTTGAACATCCTACTGTTCAAGCCCACAGTGAACAGTAGGATCCTACATTTGTCAGGGTTGCCCTGGGGGCGTTTCATTGAAACACTTGGAATAAAGCCGAGACTGGTTAATACTTTCATCCAAAAAGGAGAATACCCTAGCGTTTATAGGTCTGTATAATAGCATGTTTTTCTTTCTAATTAGATTCAGCGGTGAAGGGGAGCTGGAACAGCATTTCCCTAGGGATATTTCTACCATCATATTATTCTTTATTCCCATCCTAGCAAGTTTTTTAAAAGTTTGTTTTTATAACATCTGAGCATAAAGCTGGCCATACACTGTTAGAATTTCGTCTGATTCACAGGAATTGGACAAAATTCTAATAGTGGGTGGCCCTGCCAGCTCAACAAAAGTCAATTACCCAATCGACTTGCAATCAGTTGCAGTCACTGTTTGGGCATTATGACAGTTGCAGGTGGAGAGTTGTCAAAGAACAATAGCCTGGCAGGGGAGATTCGTCCATTTGCGCTGTTGAGCGTGGATGGAGGAATGTGTTACTTAAATCTATTAGTGTATGGCCAGCTTAAGTTTGCTATAAAGCACATTGGTCATGTGGATAAACATGAACCAATGTCTCTACTGAGTCTCTGAGCCAAGTAGGTTTTATAGCGACTCTGAAGAGAAACATTTTAAAACACACAACCTGTAACTAAATCAGTACATTCTTAGCTGGCCTCCTGTCCCTGCAGCGCTGAATACTGAAAAATGGCCTGGATGGGAAGGGGGTTCAACACCGCGGATGTCAACTGGTTAATCTTCACTCTGTTGCAGTGCTATACTTCATTTAACATAATGCCAAGTGTGTCATATTCCTAGTCCTTCACTGTGCAGCATGGTTCCAACTGCTGCCCCATACTCCACAACAGGCCACAACAGTGATGTAAGGGCTAATGAGTAACAACAGCGTACAGAGATAGGACCAAGCATGCAACACTCCTGGTGTTGGATGCAGAATATTCTTCGGCTAGCGTAGCTCTGCAACACAGTGGAGATTAGCGTGGGGGGGATAGGAAATGTAAATGTTAACCCTTTTCTTTACAGGTTCGCAACAGAGTCACTTTAAAGAATTCAAACACAGGAGTATAAAGGTGCTCTCAGTATACAGGAGGAAGGAACATATACAGGAGGAAGGTACATCAGTCCATATGGTACAGACCATAATATGGCTGGCACAACAATCCAATGCACATAATTTTACAAAATGACCACTGCTCTCTGACATCCCCACTGAATAACTAAACACTACTGCATAATAATCGTCAGACAAATTTCAGTTCTGTAAAGAGTAATGGAATTTACAATATACAAAAGATACTTCTAATAGAGACTACTACTATTATAATCCACATGTTCTATAACTACGCCTTGGGAACTTTATGGGTAGAATTATTTAATTGTACTTACCAGATCTGTATCCGCACTTTGATTCCATCAACGTCTATTGTCTTCATTTTAAAATCCACTCCTGAGAAGAAAAAAAAATGTATGTTATCAACTGTTGTAACAATTTACATAGTACTGCATTTCTTAATATATACACACACACACACACACACACACATATAAATTCACTTAGAAATGACTAAATTTTACCTAAAAGGAAGTCTGGTGCTGAGATTTCCCTGCCATAGCCCATGGCTCTGCTCCTCTTCATCTCAAAATTCTTTAGAATATATGATAAATTAAAAATTAAATAAGTTACATAGTTACATAGTATTTGAGGTTGAATAAAGACATTAGTCCATCAAGTCCAACCTATTAGGATCTCATTCTAGGAGTACCTGTACCCCTGTATATTACGGTCCCTTAAGAAATCGTCCAAAAGTTTCTTGAACAATTCCACATTATTTGCTGAAATCACCGCCTGTGGCAGTGAGTTCCAGACCCTAACTGATCTTACTGTGAAGAACCCCCTTTGCCCCTTGTGCTGGAATTTTTTTTCCACCAATTTTAGGTGGTGGCCTCTAGTTTTTGTAATGGAGTTAATTTTTCCCCCCCCCCCCCCTCTTCTCCCACCTCTGCCCCTCTTAAACAGGTTATACACCTCTTTTAAAAGGAGAGTGGAAGTTCCTACTATAGGCTGCAAGTGCAAGACTGGGAACTTAAGTGTATACGTCTCACCACTGAAATATTTAGGAATCCAATAAACAGAGAAACCACTGGTACAAGCAATAAACAACCTAAGGCTGAACTCCAGGCAGATAGAAATTTACAAATGAATGCAGCTCTGAAATTATCAATACATGCCTAAATGTATTTTTTTAAATGCAAGCAGTCCGAGTCCCCAAATTTGACTTGGTATCAGCCTCTTCCAGTACCCATATGGCTCAGCTCAGAGAGGGGGAGGGAGAAGCAGCACAAGAAGCCATTCAGAGTGTTTCAGTGCAGGGCGCCATGCTGATAAGAGAGCAGACTGGCAGAGAGATTCATTCTTTAGGGTGCTGCTTCTCCTTTCACTGTTGAGTCATTGGATGGGGAGGAAACCTGTAAGTGAAGGTAATATTGTAGCAAAAGAAAAATCAGGCTTCCTGCCCTACTAGACAAGCCTGTAATGTACAGAAGAGCTGTGTAATCTCCGGAGTGGATGGACAGACATAAGAATAATTTTAGCAGGTAAAACAGCTTTCATATATATTACATCTGTGTATTTAGCAGTTTGCCTGGAATTTAGCTTTAAAGTAGGTCAATTCGGCTTTGCTGTGTTAGGGCCACCCTTGCAAGGGTTAAGCGCTTGTTTTTGTCTAGGGGCTAGAGTAAAGCTGATTTAACTTACCTGATCCTCGTTTTCACTGGCACCCCCAGGGCTGCTAAACAGGTTGCCGCAGCCTCTTCTTCCCTGGACTCTGGCAGTCAAAGGACCACTGGCGTTCACAAGTCTAATGCAGGTTCCATAGACCTGCATTAGATGCGAGGATGCCAAGGGACATTCTACACCTGGAGAAGAGGAGTGCCAGGGTGCGGGGATCATGTAAGTAAATTTGCTTTACTTTAGATCCTAGACAAGAATGAACACTTAACCCCTCTAATGTGTGGGTAGCCCCACTGCAAGAGTACTTTATTTTTATTTGCCTGGAGATGGGCTTCAGCATGCAAAAGGGCAACTTTGCTGGTTCCTTCCTCCAAACTCCTATGTCATTGAAGATGTTTTACGAAGCTGCAGCGCTGGAACGGAGAGTATAGGAGAAACTGGATCAAGAGAGGTGATTTAAAATTGTGAGACCAAACAAAGTCTCTTTAATTCCCCCAACAGTATCAAAACCACAAGCTTTGAATGGACTGATCATTTAAACAAAATGGGATAATTATGTGGACAATAATGTTATTTCACATAATAAACACAAAACATTGGTGACAAAAGACCCTTTGAACATTTTTTACTGCTAGAACATTCTTCAAACTGGCGAAATATTCCCCTCCAATAACACCAGTGATTTAGATTAATTCTGACAATTGAACATCCAGATCTTTCGGCATTAATAAAAATATCCAATTAGACTGCTGTCAGAAATCTCCCAACTATAATTGAAGCCATTCCAGCAGGATCTGAGGACAATAGAGATTTGACTTCAGTGTTCTAAACAGGAATATACTGTACTGGTCTGTAACCTGAAAACAATAATTATTCTTATTTATTTAGCACCACCATTTTCATGGCACTGTACAAAGTACTGAATAAAGCAAAGGAGGGTAGTACAGGTAATATGCATGTTCAAAGGCTAATACACACAGTTATTTAGCAACATATAACAATAACAAGAAATAATAGGCACGCATGGCACCCATACAAACTTACAGTCAAGACTACATAAAGCCGTAGTGCCCTTTTGAAAAGAAAAAAAAAATAATGATAAATCAACACACACTGATAAAAGGAAAAAAAACACTTTTTTTTTGCATTGGAGCCCATCACAAGTGCAAAGTACAGGCTCCTGCAGACTCTTCCCTTAGCTGCCGATCTGTATGGAGGTACGGGCCTTCAGTAATCAATGGACTTGCAAGTGTGGCGACATCACTGCACTTGTGCACCATTGCAAACTAGGAGTCCCTCTGCCGTGGTGGCAGATGCGACTTGCAATCTTCCATTTACAGATCCCAATGAATGGATGGTGTGGCTGTTGTGCAATGTTAACATGTTTCATGTTACACCTTATACATGGTTATAACAACACATGGTCACAAATGAGGACTATGCTTCTAAAGTTTATCTAAAAGCCAAAACTTTTTTTTTTTTCTCATTTTAGACAGAATAGTTTTTTTTGGCCTCTGTGTCCTATTATTACATTTACTTTCGGTCTCATAGGCACAACAGGAAGTAAAAACAAATGTCTCTAAACTATGGGAAACCACCAGACACTTAGTCACCAGACTAAGTGTCCATGTTAGAAGATTTTCCTTTTACTTCTGTTCTGGTGACAACTCAAAATGTATTTTCCTCACTTTTAGTCCTGGTGACAGCGGTTTCAAAATGGGAAGAGAGCAGTAAAACCTGATAATGGTTTAAACCCTTTCAAATGTAAATTCCATAATTCCAAAGCACCAAGAAAGACAATATTTGAATGAATCGTCTCTGTCTAGTGTTCTTGTAAATGGATCTTGCTATTGCTTTTGTAACTCTCCTATGGCAAGCATTGAATATTTAAATGTTTTAAGTATTACATGCTTTGTCTACAGGAGCTATGTAAATGTCCTCTTTAAATTTTAATGAATCAATTATCTAGAATGGGATTCTATTAAATAACTGCTGATAACTTTACAAATATGTATGCAAAAGCTTTGATTAAACAAGAAAATATTTCCATAATAAAAATAGAAGTGGTTCCTCATTAGCGGGACTTTGCAAATTGTGAGCACGCATTCCAAAGATAAATCTGAAAAATACAATACAAATATTCTTCCATGATAAGATAAGAGTGGGCTTATTCAATAAACAGTGGGAAGAGCATTAGATGCAAAGTTTCATAAGTCCAAGAAGCCAGTCAGAATGTGTTTTTCTGAAGTCAGGCTAATACAAAATATATTTTGATTGGTTGTCATTCAACTTGAAGAGTGCATTATATTACTCAAAAAGACTTAAGATTTCCGCAAACCAACCAGCATAAAAACTTAGAACTTAATTTATAGCATTTAAAAGAATAATTCCAGGGGGCACATACGTACAGCGGACTAGAATGGCCGTCTTCTGAGCCGCTCCGCAACTCACCAGCAAAAAAAGCGGCAGCCTCGTCCTCCCGAGCTTGAATCTCTCCTACTTTCGGGACACACACCTTCCACAACCTGCCCGCTGTCACGATGTCTCACGGCGGATCCAAAGACAAGCCGATGCATGGCAAACCTATCAAAAGAAGCCCTGGGGCGTTCAGCTCCCCAGATGGCCGGCTCCCTCAGAACAGTGTGAGCGCCGCTTCACGCCTCCTCACTCCCGACATGAAGAGGAGAGACGCAGCAGGGCCAGCTCTCCTTCACCCACCAGGGACCTATCTCAGCACGATCTGCTACAACGCATTGATCGAATAATAAAGCCCTGCAAACAGATTCAAACCAAATCACAGATCAATTAACCCGTGAAATCTGCGAACTTGGTCAACGTACTGCGGATCTGGAACTCCGCATGGACACCGCAACTTCTTCGCTAGCGTCACACAACAAAGACTTGGAATCTCTCCACTATGAAAACCTCCAAATTAGCATCCAAGCTAGAAGATCTGGAAAATTGTTCTCGCCGCTCCAACTTACGCTTTCGGTGCATTCCTGAACATGTGGTAGATCTTCAAGCAACTATCACCACTTTACTTCAAGAGTTAATGCATTTGATTCCTATTGAGCGATTGGAAATGGAACATGTACATCGTGCTCTCACCCACAGAAAATCTGATGGTCCACCCAGAGACAAAAATCTATTTTCTTTTGTACAGAAGGAAACGATCCTACAAGCCGCTCGGGACCACCCTGCTCTCTCTTTCCAAGGTTACACATATCAAATTTCCACTGATCTAGCACCCCAAACGTCAAGAACTGAAACCTATATTACCGATTCTCCAGGCCAACCAAATCTCCTACAGATCGTGTTTCCCCTTTCGCCATGTCTTTTCCTACAATAAATCGACACTACCAAGGATCAACGCCAAAGGAACTTCGCCAAATACTATCTGAACTTCTTCTAATACCACGTCAGGAACTATCTCTGAAAAGCTTTTCTTCAAACTGAAGACACCCTTAAACTCCAGATCTTCAATCTTTTCTATTTGCCTCGCCGTGTGCCATAGGCAAGACGCGCTCCTCGGCTCTTCCCGAAATGGAATCAGACTCTGCAGACTGAGCTATGTCTCGATCCTCATATCCTGTGTTTCCGTTTTCTAATATTTTGTATGCTCTATATACAGTATTGGTTATCCACCCTAAGATCCCTTTTGTTTAATCATCCTTGGAGAGCATGCTCATATCCATGCTTCATTGTTACAAGCGCAT